CTGACATTGCCGTTTCTGGTTTTTAGTCGTTACCAGGCAGCCATACCCAATTCGCGTTTTTTTAAATCCCGAGGCTCGAACCCACGTTCTGTTAGTTAGCAATCCAATGCCCTAACAATTGAGCCACGGGCTCCTTTTTCTATCGCTTATGAGCGGGTATTTAACTGTGTTAGAGGGGCACCCACGGCTCAGGGTGTTGCAAAACCTTGGATTGAGTAGGACTGGCTGATGACAGTCGATAAGTCAGAAGTAATCATTCCGGTCTCCCTTGTCTTTATCGATGATTTCCTTTTATATTTGCTGCTAGCCGTTGTGCGGCTGTCGACTGGGCTCTAGGTCGAACTCCAATGCACACTGGGACGATTATATCTCAGAACGTGATCGACAAGCGTCTATCTAACACACTTTTTTAAAAATCTTGCCCCTTTTGCAGATGGAAGTGGAAGCCAGCAATGTTGAAAAAACTGCCGTGGACGCAGAGGAAACTGAATTTCCACCTTCGCAGCAAGACATCGCCCTAGTAGTCGCAGCCTGTGCTGGCGATCTTGAGGAAGTACAAAACTTGGTGAAAGAGGACGCAGACATCTGTTTTCAGGTTGGCTACGCTTTTGAGGCCATACATTTCCCTTTTATTTGCTATCCAAAAACACTAAAAACCACCCAAAACAAAAATTAGTCAGAATTGCTTACTTGCCCACAAAGATAACAAGGAAGCGCATCCCCATAATAGTTCCCATATCCCTATCTATCTCTTAAGTCTTTAGATGCTAGCGTCTTGGAGGGTGTTCCCAGGCATTCGCATAATGAGTTGAAAGCTGCTTGACAGGTAGATTTGACGATAATTCGTCGACTGTATAAACATTCCTCTTTTGATTATGATAATTTAGACAATACTTCCGCCTAAACCTATAACACCCATTTATTTTTGACCAGGTGACCAAGCCAGTTTCCTTCGTCATAAATTGCGCAAGTAATGTCCGGAGCATCGTAATTTCTTTAAAGCAGGTTAAAAGGACTAATGGTCAGTATTATG